CAGGACAGTTGAAACTCTTGAGTTATATTGAATCATTTTGCTCCCTTTTCTCAGACGCTTGCCTTTTGGCCATTCCATAGGCCATTTATACTTGTCCATATTGGGTGGGTTATGAGGAAAATGAATCCCAGCTCAGCCCCCGTCTGTTGAAAGCAAGTCAAATGTGTGTAGCTTTAGCATATAAGTTTAGCTGGTAATAAATCTGCTGAAAATGGCTTAGCACATAATCTGCTTTTCTCGGTCCAAACTGAATGGTGGCTTCAAAAACTCACCTGCAACCAATTTCTGATGATAACCAGTAAATATCCCATTATAGTTTTTCTCTCTGGGTAAAAAGTCCAACATCAAAATTCTCATAGACTGACATGTATTCATTTCAAGCACTTTCCGTACAGAACCCATCTTGCCCTTTCTCCAAATAATGTGAAAATGGTTGCCTACTTCCAGGGACCTGCTCAGTCCTGAGTCAATACTGGAATAACTCCCATTCCAAGTAAGTACACGTTTCTGACAAGCTAGTAGATAAAAGGGGACCTCTTGGAAGAGAACGAGAAATTAGCTCAGCCTTACCTTGGCCCCAACTATTTATTAAAATGATGCTTTAAGAGATTTTTCAAATGTCATTCTTGGTTGTGGGTCTCACTTGAGAGCTCTAGCCCTCTGCTTCAGGAATAAACATTCTTTTGGACAGTCCTGGCTTGTTTCTGTGGTTTGGTGTAATTATTAATAGGTCCCCCTTTCACTCTCAAGAGTCCCTGTTTGGATGATAAATTCTATGGTAGTCTCTTACAGGCCTTTTTCAGAAGATATATTGCTTGCATTAATCAAAGAAAAATTACCTTACCTTTCCTCCAACAGAGTCTTTGTTACCCTACCTTGAATTTATTTAGGTAATTCTTCAAGAGCAATCATGAAGAGCCATATGAACTAATGAGTAACTCCCTACCGCTCTCTTACCAGTGAAGGCAGACAAGGTAACTTTTAAGGGACTCACCTCATGCAATAGCCTGGGGAGGGAAACATGCAGCCTTCATGTTTATGTTTGCAAAGCAATTTCCAATCGTTTCAATTAGTTTTACCACTGAATATGTGCAAGAATATGCACCCTGTTGGATAGCAGGGGAACGGAGATCTAGAGAAATCTGACTCAGTGCTTTCTGGAAGGCCATTCCATGCCTGAATTCTGAGCACTGCATGGTCTCCTAGAGCTTTTACAGACTTGAGTCATCTCCCTTCCTGTTCTTCAGGAGAGGGCGTGCTGTGGTGTAGCAATTTGAGGGTAGTAAGATTATCAAAGCATCACTAGAGATGCTTTAAGAGCTTCTGTGGAAAATGGGTCTCCATGGTACTGGGTAGCTGCTGGGAGGAGCCACATGGCACAACCCCAGACATTCTCTCTGGAGGGAAGGAGAGCTGACTTGTCCGGCATGAAGCCAGGCATCCTTCTGGAGAGTCCCACCATATCCAAGGCAGACGGATTCTTCGGTCGGGGCAGATGGGTTCTTATGGAGTCTCATAATCTGGGGGTAGAGGGAGGATAGGAGGCAAGGATGGTTGACCTGTTGGCTAATGTCCTTTTCACTTAAAGCCACTCTAGCCTGAATCTAGCTGATATTCTGCCTTCAAATTCCTGGCTCCTGGCTTGCAGCCTAGTTCTTAGGGAAGAAAAGTTCAAAGCAAAACAAGGGAGCACAGAAAGGTTTGCCATCCCAAAAATGTGCTTGGAGAGCCCATACCTCGGGGGCCAATGTGGAGCAGCTGAGGAGAGAATGGAGCCATGAAACCGGAAGGGAACCACAGTGTTTGTTTTGAAACGGCCCTTCCACAGCCTTTTCCCAAATGTCCTAGTTGGGTGGGGGGAGCAGATGGAGTGCAGGAGAGACAACGCCACAGCTCAGGGAATGGTGCCATTGTGGGGGTGATTAGAATCATCTGGGGCGTCACTCCTGCAGGAAGGTGTCCAAAAGGCCCAGAGTTCTGACACACGAGTCAGCAGTGTGCTCCAGGGATCTTGCAACCCAGTTCCCTCATTTTACTTGGGGTCTTTCGGGATTTCACGGGGCTGCTTGCCTGGCAAGCTCACCGAGCCGCTTTAGTCTAAAAGATTTAAAAAATAAAAACCAAGAGTAATTTCTTCCCACTGTGAAGAACTGTCATGAGACCTAAATGAATGACTCTGGAAACAAATTGCCATACTTCCTGTCTAGCCAGGGAGCTTGCTGTCTCTGGCTGCCCACTGCCCCTGATGGAGGGATCGCCTGCCCCCTGGAGAGGCAGGGAGGCTGAAGCTTCAGGAACTGTTCCTTAATTTTTTTTTTTTTTTTTTTTTTTGGTCTTAAAGACCACTCTCCTCACCCAATTTTATAGGCTTCCATCTCAAAAAATCTGGGTCTTGGTCTGCTGCCCTACACAGTAAAAATCTCACCATTTGGTGTTCTGACGTGCTCCTGATCAGCAGAGAAGAGCAGGTGGGGGGGGGGGGATGACTCAGCGGGGATGAGGCTGGGAAGACAGGCCGGGGCCTGTGAAGCAGTTGGGTCAGGCCCAACAGCGAGGGCTGGGCTCACGTTATGTCTCAAACTTCTACCCCCTCCTTGTTTCCTCTACCACCTCCGTGCCCCGACCAAACTTGTCTTGAGATCTACAGAGCCAGGAATTTAGATCTGGGGAGGGTCTTTGTAATTATCACTCATTTTTCAAGCTCGAAGAAGGGCGGAGGCCCCTCAGGTCTATGAACTCCCGTCCCTGCAAAATGAAGCCATGGTGTTGGCCAATACTTGAAGCAGGTAGAACACTTGGCTTACTTGTTAGATATGATCTGCCTGGTGTGTCCCTGCGTGGGTGGAAACTGAAGAAGGATGGCTACCTGTCTGAGCATTCCATAAAACGCAAACCAGGGCAATTCTGCACACCTTTGCTGTGTGCCGATTAGGAGCAAAGCTTCTGAGTTACCCCCGGAGGGGACAGAAAGCTGACAAGATAGGATGCCGGTCCCTGGTATTTATATCGGAGAACGTGGTGTGAAAAGCTTGTCCCTCACTTGCTATTAATAACTGCCATCAGGGGCACCTGGGTGGCTCAGTTGGTTAAGCCTCTGCCTTCTGGCTCAGGTCATGATCTCAGGGTCCTGGGATCGAGCCCCACATCGGGCTCCCTGCTCAGCAGGGAGCCTGCTTCCTCCTCTCTCTCTGACTGCTGCTCTGCTTATTTGTGATCTATCTCTCTCTGTCTGTCAGATAAATAAATAAAATCTTTAATAAATAAATATTTAAAAAAATAACTGCCATCAGCACCTGCTATAGGTTTGGCATCTTACTGGCATCTTATTGACTTGTACCAGCAACTCTAGGAGGCAGATAGTCTTATTTTCATTTTGTGGTTGTGGAAACTGAGCTCCAGAGAGACTATGTGATTTATCCAGGGCAGGCAGCAGGGGCGTCCCTTTGCTTGTGAGGGGCCTGTGGACGCTGACCGATAGTGTGCGCAGTGTCGTCATCTGACGGCAGGCAGACAGTAGGCCCGCCAAACTTCCTCTCCTCTTTTTCACCCAAGCCTATACTGGAATCCGGTAAAACTCCCCGGTTTTAACACTTTGTGTGGGTTTGGGAAAGCTGTGCTCTGTCTTGCTTTCCTCATCTATCAACTGGACAAAATATGACCCGATACAGTTGGAAAGTTGAAATGAGATAATGGGGTCGTTGCTCAGTTCCTGGCACATTCAGGTACAAAATGACTCACTTTGGTCCAGGGTGCTTGTCCCTTAGGTCTGCATGTCAGTTCCTCAGAAACTGATGTTTTTACTGAATAGTTCCCTTCTCAGAGAGACCTCCTCTGGCCCCCCTCTCTAAAAGGCCAACCCCATTCCAACTCTTCATGCCCGTTCCCCTACCTTATTTTATCAGTGACTAATACGTTACAAATCGTACTTACTTATTTTTGTCTGTCTCCCGCAAGGAGGTAAAGTTTTGGGGACCAGGAATCTTTGTGTTATTTCTGTATCGTCCCAAGCACAAATACAGATTGGTTAAAAGAGTACATTAAGAAACAAACAAAAAAAACCCTTTCTGGCTCAGGAAATTGGCTTTTAAGTTGGCTTTTTCCTTATTAGTGGTTGACACTGGGTACATTACTTAAAATGTCTAGGCCTCCTTTTCCTCCTTTGTAAAATGGGAAGAATAATGGTATCAATTTTAAGACTGCTAGGGCAATAAAGTGGTAAGTATATAAAAATTGGCACACAGAAAGTGCTGGATAAATACTTGCTATTGTTAGCATTTAAACTAATCTGAGTAGTTATTGAAATTGTATTTCAGTGTTGCCCAGAGCTTTTAGGATAGGAGAGAAGTCTAAAAACTAAGGATGCCCTCTGCGTTTTCAGCTCCATTGTCCCCCTTGTTGGGCCACTGACAGTTGAATAGGTGTGAAAGTGCTCAGTGTTTTCCCTCCAAGAGAGGTGACAGGTCTGGATTACCATTATCACGCCACCGAGGAAGACATCAAATTGAGGCTTGCCCAAAGTCAAATGACTTGCCCAGGGCCACTCACCTCAAAAAACCAGTGCATAAGGAACCCAGACCCCGACCCTTCCTCCTGAAATTGTATTCTCAGCTGCCTCTCTTCCAAGCTCTCCCTACAGTGAGGGCTGGGGGCGGGTCTCTGAGCTCAGGAGCCCTGGGTTCCCCCGGGCTTGTCGCTTCCCTGTCCTGCAATGCGCTGAACTTTTCCACACGCAGTTTTCCCGCACGGAAAACGTGGAAAATAAAGCCCACACCTCAAAGCTTTGTGTTCAGGATCACAGGCGAGGAGAGTGCTTCTGAGACTGTAAAGTGTTGCACGAATAACCTTTGCAACAGGCATTAAGACGGGAGCCCCCTGGTTGCCAGTCCCCGGAGACGCTCCCTTCTCCACCCCCCTCCGAGGCGGCGCGCGGCCGCGGGAAAGGAAGGAGGATTAACCCCAGGGCGCCTGTCTGGGCGTTTCTCCAGGCGGCGGGGGAGGAGTTCCGCCCCTCGCCCCCGCCCCGCCGCTCCTCTCCCGGGAGCCCGCACTCGTGCTCCGGGAGTCGGTCTCCCGCCCAGGCCCCGGCTGCGCTCCCCGGTCCGGCACGGCACGCGGGCGGCCCGCCAGGATGCAGGCCCCGCACAAGGAGCACCTGTACAAGCTGCTGGTGATCGGCGACCTGGGCGTGGGAAAGACCAGCATCATCAAGCGCTACGTGCACCAGAACTTCTCCTCGCACTACCGGGCCACCATCGGCGTGGACTTCGCGCTCAAGGTGCTGCACTGGGACCCGGAGACGGTGGTGCGCCTGCAACTCTGGGACATCGCAGGTGAGCCCCCGGGGGAGCGGCGAGGGCACGGGGGCCTCGCAGCGGTCCTGCAGTTCCGGGGCGAGGGGCTGCGGGCCGGCGGGCGCCGCACCGCACGAGACTTTTCCTGGTGCGTTGGAAACTTGGTTTCCGAGGAAACAAAAGTTTTTCTGTCTCGCTCGCTGAAACTTCAAGTGCATTCCCTGGCGCTTTGGCGCTGTTGCTCGAACTCCCTCGCACACCCTCCCCTGGGATCTCTCGACCCCGTGCGGGCCTCCCCAGGGACCCAGGGAGAGACTGTTTGGAGTTCTCGGTCTCTGGCTCTTTTTCCGGGCGTGGGCGACGCTGCCGGTGACGCGGCCCTTAGTGTCATGCCAGCCACCAAGGGGGAAGCCCTGAGACCGGTTAACAGCGGGAACCAGGAGCGTTCTGGGCTAGAAGGGCTCTTACCCACCTGTTGTCCCCCAACTGCTGTTTTTAACTGCTTACTTAGTTCATTCCAACTCCTGCCCCCTCTCAGTCAAGCGAGTTTGATGTCCTCAGCTTTGAGGAAGCCAAGGATCCTCGTGTATATGTTTTTGGGGCAAAGTCTCATTTCTATGTTTCTCTCTGGCTCTCTGTGGTCTATGAAAAGGAGCCTGGGGGGCGCCTGGGTGGCTTTGTCGGTTGAGCAGCACCCTGGTATTGGATCGAGCCCCTCATGGGGGTCCCTGCTTAGAGGGGAGCCTGCTTCTCCCTCTCCTTCTGCCTGCCACTCCCCCTGCTTGTGCTCTCCCCGTCAAATAAATAAATAAAATCTTAAAAAAAAAAAAAAAGAAAAGGAGCCATGCACCTACCTTAGGGGGACTTTTGTCAAAGAGTCTATGACATTAGCCCTAAGATTTCTTGATTTGCCCATAAAGTTTTCACTGAGAGATCTGGGAAATGAGAAGCTTCATTACAATGTTTGAAACCAGAGTTTGCTTCTGAGGGTTTGTCCCCCAAGTTGGGTGGGGGAGTCAGGCAAACGTGAGGCAAATGTGTGAGCCCTTGGACTGAAGCTGTTTGCAACCTGGGCATGTCCAACCCCTCATTACAGATCTTGGCTCTGTCACTCACCAACCTGCCCAGTGGCTCCAGACAGGTCCCTTCTGCTCAGTTGCATCCCTGTTAAGTGGAAAGGGATTGGCCACGGCAGCTCAGGAATCTTCCTGCTCCGATGTTTTAAGGTCCTCTGGGATTCTCTGTGAACAGTGCAACTTCACCTCTGGCTGTTCATTGTGGTACCAGGAGCCTTTGCTTAAGTGCTGGACCCAAACCTGCCACTTCTCTTTCAGAAAACAGGTTCCTTTTTAGCTGGTGTATTTGTGTGGGAAACACTTAATCATGGCTCGAAGCAAGAGTAAATGTGGAAAATTTCTGAAAGGATATTTCTGTTTCTGGGGACTCCGGTGCTTCTTTAATCATGAGCCGCTGAGTCTTATGATAAAACTTTCGGCATGTGAACAGATTCCTACATTTGGAGTCATTTTCAGCAGCTCTGGTGGCATAGGGGGTTATCAGGGACCAGATGATGCCATCAGCCACTGACTGGGCTTTTCATCTAGAAAAGCCACTGTGAGTCTCTGCACTTCCGTTATTGGATGTTTTAATGTCTGAAAACTCTTCTGGCTGTGCTGATATATCTAGAACTCAAGTTTAGAAGGAACTTACTGTTTCAAAGGGGATGTAGCTGTCATTTAGACTTTTGTGTCAAACACAAGTATGGATGTGACCTTAGCATGTTAGAGAATGTCCGTGAATCTCAGAGAAGGTAGAAAGGCATAGTAATTAAGAGTCCAAATTCCAGAGGCGAACCACTTTTGACTATATCCCTGTTTTACCCCACATGTCCTGAGCTGTTTTAGGCAAGTTTCTTAACCTCCTGATCTCAGTTGCCTTATCTATAAATTAGGCAGGATGCTTTCTCCCAGTAAATGAGAAATGGGCAACCAACAAATGTCACCTAAAGGTGACAGTACCTACTATCCAGGAGAACCTCAGGGATTATTGTGACAATAACATGTATGATGGTAGGCAAGAAGGCATACGAATGTGCTAAGTCATAATAAATAAGGAGTCCTATATTACATCTATAATCTGGTCCAAAATACCCAGCACCATTTTTCAGCTTTATCCGTGGTACAGCATGCTGTCATGAACAATTTAAGCACCAAATTTCGAAATGCCTCTTGAGGAGGCACCTGGGTGTCACCCTCATTTTAAGTCACCCTCTTTTCTCACCTGGACTATTACATTAACCTCCTCACTAAGCTTCTTGCTTTCTCTCTCGTTTCATATGAAGTAATCGTTTGTCAAATTTTTTTTTTTTTTTTTTTTTTTAAGAGACTGCATAGCAGGGCACAAGGGCGGGTCAGTTGGTTAAGTGTCTGCATTGGGCTTTGGCCATGAACCTGGGGTCCTGGGTTGGAGCCCCATGTCAGGCTCCCTGCTCAGCTGGATGCCTGCTTCCCCCTCTCCCTTTGTGCTTTCTCTCTCTCTCTCAAGTAAATAAATAAAATCTTAAAAAAAAAAAGAAGAAATGCCTCTGAAGCTGTGGTTCTGGACTGAAGTTGTTGGGGAGGCTATAGCCACAGAAGTCTGTGCAAATAAGAAATCAGGAGTTTGGAAAGTCGGTTGTACAGCTGTAGTGGTGTGTAGTATCTCAGGAGGGGAACTACTTTTTCCCAGGGCTCTGATGTTCGGTGGTAACCTGCCTTTGGCAGCCTCCAGCCCAAAGGCCCTCATGAGCTGTGTTAGAAGCTGGGAATCAGGCCCTACTTGTTGTGGGGAAGTTGGGCCCTTGTGGAAGGGTTGAGTGGAACATCGTGGTGACATATTTCAAACTACATAGGTACCCCTGTGAGGAGTGAATTCATATGAAATCCAACCTCAAGTACCCACTCAGATTCTAGTCAGCTAAGCGTACCTTACAGCACCTTCAGATCAGCCTGTCTGTCCAGACCTAAGAATGCTTCTCTCTCTCCTTTGGGCTCAACTCTGCTATGTGTGTGGAAAGAACAGGTGAGGTTAAAGTGTGAACAGGAGGGCCGCACTTTGAGGTGGTTGAGAGGATGGATGACATAGAGAGGACAGGCCCTGTCATTGATAGAATATCATATCTATCTGCAATGGAGGGAATCTTTGCTCATGAGATTTTTGATATTCATTTGATTCAATGCCAACTCATGGTCTGTACGTGTCCAACTAAATTCTGTGATATGTCTCTTGTAGCCACTTTGACTGACCAGTCTATTCCTGAAAGACTCCAAAAAATACTTCTCAGGGGGTGCCTGGCTGGCTCAGCCTGTAGAGCATGTGACTCTTGATCTCCCCGGTCATGAGTTCCAGCCCCACATTGGGCATAGAGATTACTTAATAAAAACAAAAAACAGAAAACTTTTTTTTTTCTTTTTTTTAAATACCTCTCAGGGCTTGTGAAGTAGGCTGAAAACCAACATGGTAAATTCCACAAACCTCACAGGGAATGGCAATCATCCTGAGTCCCAAAGATTCTATCACAGAGGAGCAGCTGGGTCAGCTCTGGCTTCCAGAGCTCTTGACAGTGTCAAGAGAAATTAAGTCACTCCGCCCAAGGCCACCTACCTATTAAGTGGAAGAGCCCAATTAATACAGTTCTATGTGACTTGGAATCAAGCCATGCTCTTAGAGACCACAAGCCTGTGAATGCCTGGGGCATAGTTGGTCCCCTGGGATTATACCCTCCTCCCGTTAAAAGGTCTTTCTTTCTTTCTTTTCCTTCCTTCCTTCCTTCCTTCCTTTCTTTCTTTCTTTCTTTCTTTCTTTCTTTCTTTCTTTCTTTCTTTCTTTCTTTCTTCCTGTGTTGCTTCTTTAGATTTACCTAAGGTTATCCTTGCCTTCTTCCTATTTCTAACATGTTTCTGGATATTAATCAGAACTACTGTACAGGTAGTGGGATGAAATAGAATGAAAATCTATTTCTGAAAATTTGATTCTTGGTTGTAGAGTTTTTAAAATAGATTTATCAGGAAAAAAAGTAAGCAAAAGGTTCACATTTGAGACTCTCTTTTCTATTCCTCTCCAAATCTGATTACTGTAATTATTCCATCAGCATTTTCAAAGAGAATGGTACAGTTTTGTCTAGAACTTTTTGTGTGCTTTGGGACCACAGCTGGAGGATTTGGGACAGTCGTAGTAATAGCAGCTAACATTTCATAAGCGTTTATTATTATGTGTATAATACACATACTTAATTTTTAATTCCCCAGTAACATAGTTGGTTAAGTGGTAGTGCTGGAATTTAAAATTTGGCCGTGGAATCCAGTACCAAGGTTTCTAACAGCTTTGCTCTACTTCCCACAATTTAAAAATAAAATACTTCGGGGGCACCTGGGTGGCTCTGTCAGTTATGCATCTGACTCTTGATTTTGGCTCAGGTCATGATCTCAGGATTGTGAGATGGAGCCCCACATCAGGTTCCACACTGGGCATGGAGCCTGCTTAGGATTCTCTCTCTCCCTCCCCCACTCTTGCTCCCTGTCTCACAAATAAATAAATCAATCTTTAAAAATTTTTAAAAAATACTTTATTTATTTCTTTTTTAAAGATTTTATTTATTAGAGAGAGCAGGAGTGGGGTGAGGGGTAGAGAGAGAAGCGGGCTCCCTGACCAGTCGCCAGCAGGGAGGCCAGTGTGGGGCTTGATCCGGGGACTCTCGGATCAGGACCTGAGCTGAAGGTAGATGCTTAACTGAGTCACTTAGGTGCCCTCAAAATAAAATACTTTAGACACATTCTTTCTTTAAAAAAAGATTTATCGGGGCACCGGGGTGGCTCAGTGGGTTGGGCCGCTGCCTTCGGCTCAGGTCATGATTTCAGGGTTCTGGGATCAAGTCCCGCATCGGGCTCTCTGCTCGTCAGGGAGCCTGCTTTCCCCCCCCCCCGCCCGCCTGCTTCTCTGCCTACTTGTGATATCTGTCAAATAAATAAATAAAATCTAAAATAAATAAATAAGTAAGTAAA